CTTCTTATCAATAAAATTCTTCTAATTATCTTTTCTCTCTGTGCGAGTTTTTCAGATTGAACTGCTGTAGGAACCCTGTACATAATCATCAAGCAAAAACCAACTTAAACAAACTAACGATTTGAGAAGAAAATCTGAGCTTGCCCTGACAGGAAATCTGATATCTACTATTAGTAGATATTAGTAGTAATCTAAAGCCCCTTTTCAGCAGAAATTATCGGGTTATACCGAGTTATTCAAAGACGGGTCGATCCGCCCAAAATCAGCATTTGGATCCCTCCCCGTTGGCAAAAGCTGCTCTGACCCCCCTGCTGGCAAGCTGCGTAACTTCTGTCACTCCACTGCTGCTTGTCTGGTGACGCCATCATGCAGGGTTAGCATTGATGATGTAATCAGGAGTGTAAACAATGGAGAACCACATGGAAGGAAGCCAGGGCAGGGTCAGGGTGCTTTAGTGCTTTGCTCTATTATCCGTCTGAATTCCTCTCACCAGGGCTGCTCCCGGTTCTAAGAATGTAAAAAGAGTTGTTTCTGCTTGTTAGATCAGAAGCGACTGCCGCGGTGTGTTTACGTCCATATGGTTCACTTAAATCAGAGAGTCAATCTGGGTCCGTTGTTCCCACTGTATGCCGATCAGAGCCTTCTTCTCGAGTCGTTTGACCCGGGTAGACATGCGTCAGTGACCTGTTCCTACTACCACTGAAAGCCGATTGTTCCCAGGTTTAGACAGGTTTTTCCAGCCAGTGGGAAAGGGCTATAAAATATATCTGCCAAAGGATGACACATAAGTGTGATTTTCATGTACCCCTTGCTATGCTCTCGTGGACCACTAGGGGTATGAGTACCCTAAAGTCGGGGATCATTGGCTAACATTCAGCACCTGACTAAATTAAGCTGCAATAATTAAATTAATAAATTGAATTCATAATAAAAAGAAGAAGTCTGATAAATCTGGAGACCTTATAAATGTAGAGGTAAATGTATCCCTAATTATTCCTCTCAGGGTGTTTTTTTGTTGAAAACTTTAATATTGTTTTCTATAATTACTGTCAAAACTATATAAAGCAATAAACAACACGTACAAAAGAACAAACGCTTCTTTCAAAGTTTAATTCCCGTTTTATTTCTTTGCCAAAGAAGATAAAAAAAAAAAATGATAACCATTAATATTCTTACCTTATTTCAGTTCATCTTATTCTCTGCTGCTTGAGACAGCTTCCCTGTTGGTTCCTCTGGTGAAAGGTTCCTCATCTCACTGTCAGAACACATAGAACTCATATGAACCTGTTGTTGGACCAAATAGAAGAACAACTCATATTTACTGGAGATTAAATATAATATATATATATATGTTGAGTTGGTGATCTACATTTGGAGGAGGACATTTAGAAACAACTGCGGCTCTTCTGTTTTTAGACCTGCAGCTTCCTGAATATTTTTAAATTACTTGCATCATTTGCTTCATGTTCATCTCCAAACTCTGACACTGAAATGTGTTTGTCTGTCAGGCCAAATGTGAGCTGAAGGAAAATGCAGTGCACACCTGCACCTGTTTGGACGGCTTCTTTGGGGATGGAAAACTGTGCTACGGAACATTAAAGGATGTAAGCGTTTGGTCAGAAATGTTTACAGCACAGAATCACAGCTAACCTCAGTCATAGCAGATCTATTTAAAGAAAACTATAACGTCTGAACAATTGTAAGGAATAAGTCAAGATCAGAACTCTAAAAACAAATATTACATTTATGTTCAGTCAAAGTATTTTTTCTTTTTTAGTGCTTTCGATATTTCCCAAAAAGCACCTTTTTATGCTTCTGCTGTGAATTTCATGTTCTCACAATAGATGTTTTCCTCAATGATTCAGAGACGATTCAGTTGTCAAAGTTTTTTAAATATGTGTTTTGTTTCTCATGTAAGCAACTAATGATGCAGCTGAGATAAATGTCAACTGTAGGTGTCAAATGTACGGAAGAGGATAAGGGCCAGTGGGAAAAAAAAAAAAAAAGTTAACTGATTTTTAAATTTTATTTCAGTTTAACATGGGACTTTTTTCTCAGAATTTTGACTTTAGTCTCAGAATTCTCACTTTAATCTCAGAATTCTGACTGAATTCTGACAATAAAAGAAGTCAGAATTCTGAGATTAAAGTCAGAAATTTGAGAAAAAAGTCAGAATTCTGACTTTTTTCCCATGTTAAACTGAAATAAAATTTAAAAATCAGTTAACTTTTTTTTTTTCCCCCACTGGCCCTTATCCTCTTCCGTACATTTGACACCTAAAAACAAAAAGAAAGATTTCACAAAACTGTTCTTAACCCTGATAACTTTTTTTCTGTATTTTTTTATTAGGAGCTGGACATGCACTTCCAGTTCCTCGGCCTCAACAAACAAATTCTGGTGCGTAACTTTCACATTTGCTCCTCAGCAGCTGATTCTCAAACTGTCTGTTTATGTGTGTTAGTGGTCCGACCTCTGCTGTAGCTTCCACCTCTGGGCAGTCTTTAAAGATGTATGTTTATATTCACATATGACTATAAAAAAGGATTGTTGTTCAAATAAAGCAACAAACACCAGGACAGTGTTTACTTAGTCTTTTTTGGGCCTAATAAGACTTTGTGCACTGGGCACAAGCAACAGACAGAAACACTGTTGTCCTACTGTTAGCAGCTGGTATTACAAAATTAGAAACTTGAACAATAGCAAATATGATATCCATTACCGACTGGTCACATAGTCTTTAGGTTGTAAATTAGGGGTGTAAATCACATCCATCATGGCGATTCGATTCAGTATCGATTTCCTGGCCCAACGATTCGATTATTTTCGATACTCAAGAATACACCACGATTCGATTCGATTAATCGGTTAATTTTTTTTTTTTAAATATCCCTTACAGGCAAAACAAAGTTATAAGTTTTAAATAAATCAATGAAAGCTGTAATATCAT